CTTTGGCTTTTATCCCAAGACTTCTTTAATGCACATTGTCTATGCCGTGTATCACACATCGCTAGAGTCATCGACAAACTGACACGGCATGAAACAAACCATGTAAATGCCGATTTTCTTTTCACACGTCAAGTTTTCGGTAACATCAAACATTCACACCTCCGCGACAAGTTAAAAATGGTTCTAAAGCAGCCTAGATATGTAAGAAAACATATCACTCTGCATATATGCTTAATTAGGTCTTGTGGTCTTTCTGCAGATCTTGTCTGAAGCATGGAACCAGATTTGCTTCGCACATGGAAACCAAATCAAACAAAGGCCCTGAGCAGGTAAGGCAAAAGATGATGATTTTTATACTCAAGACTAGCACTAGTATAAGCACACAGGGTTTGACAGCCAGGATTAGCCCGTCCAATCAGCAGCGGCCACGTGGCGCGCCCCGGCCACCAAATTCAAAGAGAAGCTTCTCCGTGATTGAAAGCAATCAAGTAGGAACACGCGTATAATGGCGACAAATGGCCTGGAAAAAAGATACCAGTAGTTAATGTAGGAAAGCTGAGTAAGCAAGCAGAAACAGCAACCCACACTAAAAATCAAGGACCATGACAGCAACCCCTATCCCCCTACTACATATTGTGTGGCCAATATAGTAGTGCTAATTAATCGCGCACGTCACGCCTACCTCAGGAACAGCTTAGCTAAACAGTGGGCTTTAATATTGGTGCTAACCGAATATTCGTGCAAACAGAACTGGCCATAGTTCAGTTTCCTCTTGTTTTTTTGCACATATGTTTGTTTTATAGGGTAATTTATTTACTGTGGTTGGGAGTTAGATGGCAGTTTCATTGATGCTCTGTTTGTTTTGCATGAATGAAATATTTATAATCCATAAACGGCTATTAGTTGGACCCAGCTCAATAATTAGTTTCACTCATGCCAATTATTTTATCGTAAACCCGCTCATTTAATTAAGATATCGGCAATCGATGCTTGCTAGAACCAGCCACAACTTGCAAGGAAACTCCTCTTGGTCTGGTATGCCCTGAGAAACTAATTAACAGCCAATCCAAGCGTGTATCTTCACTAACAAGGCACCATAAGGTTTCTCACGCCGATTAATTAGTTACATATTGCTCAATCATTTACTTGTTTATTGTGCTCTGGGGTGCTTTATGCCCTACAACTGCACCACCTTCCTCATCTTGATATCAGGATGCAAATATGAGGTTTGATTGCTGCTGCAATAATCATGAAATAGTTCTTTTTCTTGCCATCTTTACATTTTGATGGAACTGCATCATGCTTAAAATATGCTATCGTGATGACTAGCTAAAAAGGTGAAAAAAGGGTAATTAGTGGGTGGTTACCAGAAAGTAAAAAAGAAGATGGTAGAAGAAGAGGCTAGCAGTACTAGTAGTAGTAGGATAAAAAGGGAAGGCAGCAGGTAGGGGGTGGCATTTCTAATTTAAAGTCCAAGACAAGTGTTGGATTGGGATTTAGGTCCACCCACTGGTTGTTAGGAGATGGAGGAGGGCATCCATCCATCCATCTGACCACAATACCCACTCCCAACCTCAATGTGTGCGCAGCAAGACCCCCTCCCCCCTGCCTTTGATTTGAAGAGAGGTTACTGGGTTAACCACCATTAGCGACCGCACTTAATTGGCGCTGCTGCTCTCCTGGTTCGCTGGATTGTGTCTAAATCACGGATCACGTGTGCGCTAAGGTCATTGAATACATATATATATATATATATATATATATATATATATATATATATATATATGGCGTGGCCATGGCGCGGTAACCACGATGAAAAAGAGCGAGCGGCAACGTAACTTCGCCGTAAGGAAGACAGTAAAGATAATTGGTCTTCATGACAACATTAGTGCTGTTTTTACTGGAGAGGCAAGTAAAGTAGAGTGGTTTTAAAAAATATCTTTGTATGAGCTAAATTTTTACATTGCTTTAGAACGTATACTCCCTCCGTAAACAAATATCAGACGCTTTAGACCATTACATAGGAAGTATGTGAGAAAACAGAATGATATTTTGGGCAGCATGCTGGAACATTCTGCCCCCAGAACTTTAGTTAGTTCCATATATGATGGGTGGTGACATTCCTTCTATTCTGCTCATGCAAAATTTAGCCCAAATTCGTCCATGTTCTCTGCGCCGCGCCGAGAAGGGATCCGCCGCCTCAATTGGGATGCCACTTCTCGAATCCATTCAAGGGCCTTGAATTGAGTTCAAGACAGCACTCCAAACAAGCAAGAGAGAGTTATAGAGGGAGAGGATGAACTTGGCTGGTGGACCACATTCACCACCCAAGGCCAGGCCAGGCCAAGAACCCCACCACTAATTGTTTTCTCCCTCCCATTGGGGTGTTGATGTCACACGTGATGAATCCCCCTCAATCCCAAATGATTTGGTGATCCTGCTTGCATATCTCCATTAGCTGGCACCAAAACCAAAAGCCAAGCTGCACTACCGCCGGTGGTTCTGCTTCAGCTGCAGGATGAAAACTCTGAACTCTTTTTTGCTCTGTCTCAAAGAAAAACAGCTCTGAAATTTTATTTGCTTGTTTGTGTTTTTTTATGTGTGTGGAAATTGTGGTATAGCATAGACTTTATCGTGAAGGGAGAAACAAGGGGACGACGACAAGTAGCCGGAACTTGCGGTGGTTACACCAGCAAATGGCTCCAAGCGGCAGCAGTTGGGGGAGGAGAAGGTTAGTTAAAGGGCAAGGGAAGGGAAGAGTAGACATACATACTCCAACATACTAATAATCTTCTTGCCCAGTCCACACCAACTAATAATAATAGTAAATCAGGAAACCAAATTATTCCATATTTGGTGCTGCTGTGCTGTTAGTGGGTGGTCTCTCTGAGCTCACCTTTCTTTTTTTTCTTTTTTTATTTATTTTAATTAGGCAGCAAGCCACACAGCTGCTGCACAGTAGATAGGGAGAGGGAGAGAGAGGGGCCTGAACTCTGAGGGAAGAAACAGAGCAAGAGAGAGAAAGGGAGGAGCTTTTTCTCCCTTTGAGCTCTGGTTTTTTGGGTATTTTAATCCTGGGATCTGATTTTGTCCCTCTCCCTCTCTCCCTCTATCTTACTCTCTCCATAGACTGGTGGAGGAGGAGGAGATCAGCTTTGGATGCAATCTTCTTCTTCTTCTTGTGCCTGCCCCCCACGAGGAGCACACCCTCGCCCCCAGGTCTCCCCTCCCCCCCTTCCATTTTCTTATGACCTTCCCTCCCTTGCTCTGCGCCTCCGTCTCCCTGCGGCTGCACCTTCTCTGCTTCTTCTTGCATGTATGGCTGCTTGCTTACCTTCGTCTTTGCCCTTGTCTGCTTCCAGTCCGATGATAGGGTTTCGCTGAATTGTGCTCTTCTTGTCCATGCTTCCGATTTCCTGGATTTGTAGAAGTAGGGCTCTGCTACGCCTTCTGAATTTTGAGCTCGTTTTTTCGGTGTTCGGGGATTTTGCACGGGTGCCAGTCGATTCTGAGGCGGTTGGATTTTCTCGAGGAATTGAAAGCTCAGGAGAAAAATACGGCCCCCTTTTATCCTTTTTATTACCTTTATTATTATAGCTCCTGCCTTTCTTGGTGCGTATTATGTTCTTTCAGTCTTTTTCCCTCTGAATTATGTGATATCTTCTCTCTCTCTTTTCCCTTCTCAAATTGCCAAGCTCTCTGTTTTCCTCTCTACAGCAGCATGTTCGTTTCTTGGCCTGTAATTTGAGCTTATTATCTGTGGAGGGGATTTTGTGATTGCTGGCCAAATTGTAAAAGTCCTTTTGTCTTTCTCCTTGATTTCCTCCTTTCATCAAGTCCAGCTCTTCAAAGGCTCTGTTTCCTGTTACAATTGCCTTTTTGAAGCTGTTATTGTGTTGAGTCACCACACTATAGAAGATTCTTGGTGCTAATCAAATCCTACCTCTTTTGTTTTATCAAAACTAAGGGGTGGTTATTTTAGCTTTATCATGTAGTACTAGCTTGTAAACTGCGAACTTGCTGCCTTGGAGTTTCCTCCTGGCTCTGCTGCCTCTTTCGCATCGTAAAATCGAGTATTCAAACAGAATTTCGGCGAGCAACTATGCTGAGCAGGTTCATCTCTTCTTGCAGATTGATCAGGAAGCCACAGTCACATCGGTAACGCGGTAGCGGAGCGTCTTCGAGGGGTTTCATGTTGGTTTAACAAGGTACTCCTGGCAAACGATCGGTAACTAATCACTCGATAATCGTTCGCTGAAACTCTAGTTATCTATGCAATTTTCCTTTTTCTCGTATGGCCGCGGTTTTTCCGCAGTAAGACCGTGGCGTTGTCCATATGATTCTTGAATGAATGAAAAAAAGGAATACACTGGTGCAATGATTTGATTCTGGTTACTTGTGTTATCCGGCTATTGGGTTGGTATAACAGTAGGAATTCACAAGCATATATTCCTGTTATCCTGATAACAAAGGAGGAGCACAGAGCCCAAAACTTTCTTGATCCAATCTGAAAGTTTGAAGGACCACTTGTACCTTTAGCCTGCAAATTCGCACGTCACGGTGTCAGTTCCTGCCAGAACCTTGCAAAAATCCCACTTCTCGAGCAAATTTTTTGCAGAGGACTGCATTTCAAACAGACTTGGTTAAATCCTGCCAAAACCGGGCCTGAACCTCAGTTTTGATTTCCAACTTGTGAAGACTGACCTCTGTTTTGCTACTGCTTCCACTGCAGAGCAAGCTGTTTTTTGGTTGTCAAACTTTTCACGTTCAGAGTGTTGTGGAGATCTTTTATTCAACTGCTTTACAAACACTTGCAGTACCTTTTTTTTTTACATCAGTAAAAAGAATACTTGCTCAGATTTTAAAACTTGGTTGCATATTCTTATCAGCCCATTTCATTTATGTCGATTGCAGGAGGTTGGATTGATCTTCTACTGAAACTTGCTACTGGTTGTTAATAATATCTATGCTTCACGGTGATCTTGGTCAGTAAAAGAGAGATGGCTACTTACTACTCGAGCCCTGGCAGCGAAAGAGAGTCGCAAGACATGTACTCAAGAGACCCGGGTGGTGCATCCTATCCGATGTCGTCTGCTCTGGGCAACTTGCTCTATCTCAACAATCCATCTTCTGGGCCATACACTGAGTTCAGCGGCATTCTGCAGACTCAGCAGAATTTCATGGAGATGCCTGGCCATGGCCATCATTCTGCAATGTCCCAGGACTCATCGGCAAGGGAGTCGCAGGACATGCTTGCTTCCCACCATGGGCAACGCTCGTTTGGTCATGTGAAAGATATGAAGAATGAGATGTTGATGCATATGATGGATGGGGCACAGAGTGGTGGTGCTGAACTCATCCACGATGATCCCCACAATGGTGCACAGTTCGAGTTTGGTGTCCTGAACAACCATGACTCGTCGGATGTTCCGGTAGGGCAAGGCCAAGGCCAAGGCCAAGGGCTGTCTCTGAGCCTCAACACACAAATCCTCGCGCCGTCCTTGCCATACTGGTCTATCAAACCAGACATGTTGACGCCAAACTCTTACCAGGAAAGCCTTAGAATAGACGACATCCGGATGAAGAACATGCAGTCTGAGGCCTCTCGTGCGATCCGGCACTCGAGGTATCTCAAGGCAGCTCAAGAAGTGCTAGATGAAGTTGTGAATGTTTGGAAGAACATCAAACAGAAAGCTCAGAAAGAGCAAGCTGAACCTGGTAAAGCAGATGGCAAAGAGACCGATGGAGGGCCAAAAAGCGAGGGCGCATCGCAAGAATCCGGCGCAAATGCAGCACCTGAGCTGTCCACTGCTGAGAAGCAAGAGCTTCAGAACAAGATGGCCAAACTGATGGCAATGTTGGATGAGGTGGGTTGGTGACTATGTTCAATTGCTGCTTGTACCTTTCTTTCTTCTGAAATACAAACAACTCAATGCAGATTTCTGTTTACTGACACTGACTGTCAGTATGTCTAACCGATTAGTTTGACTTTTAACACGTTGATGTTAGCGAATTGGCTGGTAGATTCTGGATCAGACTGACATAGTAGCTTCTATCCATTAAGAATGAATGTTGCTTTGTATTTTGCACAGTGTTTTTTGTTACCGTAGTAAATTATTCTAACATTAAGATAAAAATTTATATTTCAGGTGGACCGGAAATACAAGCACTATTACCACCAAATGCAAAATGTGGTTGCATCTTTTGACATGGTGGCTGGGCCCGGATCTGCCAAGCCTTACACCGCAGTTGCTCTGCAGACAATCTCACGACATTTCCGGTGCTTGAAGGACGCTATCAATGATCAGATCAATGTTATCAGGAAGAAGCTCGGCGAGGAAGAAAATTCGTCTAGCAAGGAAGGCAAATTGACCCGTCTTCGGTACATTGATCAGCAGCTAAGGCAACAGCGTGCTTTCCAACAGTACGGTATGATTCCTCAGAATGCCTGGAGACCGCAGAGGGGACTGCCTGAAAACTCGGTTACAGTTCTTCGTGCTTGGCTCTTCGAACACTTCCTTCACCCGTAAGTATCTTTCTTCATGAAGTTTAATCCATTTGTTGTTGTTTCTTTTTCTGTCAAGACCATTTGTTCTCGTGTCTTATCATTCTTCATAAATCTTCTGCAGGTATCCAAAAGATTCTGAAAAGTTAATGCTTGCAAGGCAGACTGGCTTGACAAGGAGTCAGGTAATATATACCATTGTCTTTTCCTGTGCTGAATCATTGATCTACACTTGATTTTATTTCTGAAAAAATCTTGCAATTCGAATAAACGTAGAAATATCAGAGTACTTTACTTGTCTTCAAAGTTTGTACCACTGCACGGTGTACTTGCTTGTATTTTATTTCTCATTATTTATTTGTGTCCAACCACAGCATAAAACCTACAACTTGCATTTTCTCCTTATAACAGCTATCTGTGTTTCTTCAAGGATATTTATTTTATTCTTTCATGCTTTTCCAGATTTCGAATTGGTTCATAAACGCTCGTGTCCGCCTTTGGAAACCAATGATTGAAGACATGTACAAAGAAGAGACCGGTGATCTGGAGCAAGACTCCAACTCTTCCTCTGACAATGTGTCGAGAAGCAAGAACAAAGTGGCATCTTCAGAAGAGAATGAAGATCTGAAGAACGCCAGGGCTCGGGTTTGCGAGACCAGCCAGCTAAGCGAGTCGAGAGCCAGCATGGGAACTATGAATGTTGGCGGGGCACCTGTTAGCTTCCAGAACGAGGCCAACCCTGATGACAGTTTCATGAACCTGATGATGAAGGATCAGCGATCCGGTGAGGCGGATGGAGGCCTCCTCCTCCACAACGCCGTCGCGCAGCACTCGGACGAGAACGCGCGGTTCATGGCTTACCACTTGGCAGAACTTGGGAGGTACGGAAACGGCAACGTATCGCTAACGCTGGGCCTACAGCATTCTGGCAGCGGTCTCTCGGTTCCGAATGCCCAAGCAAACTTCCCCGGTGTCAGTGACGATGACATCTACAATGCCGGTGCTCCTCTCGGTGTTAGCATTGCATCTTCGGACTACGAATCTTTGAACCAGATGGATCAGCGGCAACGCTTCGAGCAATCGCCTCTTTTGCATGATTTTGTGGCCTGAATCATGATGGTACATCAGATCAGGACCATTGACACAAAGATTGGGTGGGGGGTGACAGCATTTGTAAAAGAAACTCCTAGTGGCAGAATAATAACATGCCTGCAAGAGCATGGGGTTGTAGCTTTGTAGTTGCCATTTGATACAGGAGAGGGGGTATAGCAGGACATGTAATATAAAGCGTAGGTGGTGGGGGTGATAGGGGGTAAAGATGGAAAATCTTTTGTAAAGATAAAATGCAATTTACTATACGTGTAAAAGCTTGTGCTCAGTATTGTAAAGTAATGGCCACTTCAGGGTGATAGTACACATTGCTAAATGATGGCTATTCTTCTTCTTTTCTACCCTCCATATCTTGTGCCCAGTATTGTAAAGTATTTGCCAGCTAAGGGTGATCGAAATACTTCGCTTTTCCATTCAAGATGCAACGAGAGGGCAAGCCCATGCTCTTCATGAAGCGAACAATCTGTTACAAACAAAATGAGATGGAAGAACAAATTATTTCTTCATGAAGCTATTTACTGCACAGGAAAATCTCCTCTACAACCTTCAAATTTGAATTAAAACATACTGAATCTAAACAATAGGGAAATTAATGTGATAACTCAATCAAATCAACTATTGTGTTAAATCACGCTGGTGAGATAATCTTTGCTTTGTGTTGGTGTTACAAGAGAAGTTTTTTCTGTAGCAAAGACGGAAGAGGTCAGGGGCCAGCTCTGCAGGTGGATCCCCGCCCAGCCAGCGGGCGCGTGCCGCCGCCGACGGTGATGTTGGTGGCAGCCGCGAAGAGGGTGTGGTCGTCTTTGTCGTAGGGGATGGGAGAGCCACTCCAGGGCCTGTCCTGCGTGCGCCATTCCAGCCACTTCCATCGTAACCGTGGGGGCTGTCCGAAGCGTTTGAGGTCGATGATGCCAAGTCCACCAAGGTATTTGGGCCGGCAGACGGTGGACCAGTTCACTAAAGCATTTCTACGGTCTGCGTCCGGCCTTGATCTCCAAAGGAATTTCTCTATAGGTTTTGTCGATTTGTTTGATGTCCCATGCACCGAGCTTGAAGATGGTAATCAGGTAGGTTGGGATTGCTGATAAAAGTAAAACAAAATGGATCAGCCGCAGACGAGCATCAGCGGACTTGAGCTTGCCATGCATTTTTTGGAGCATGGAGGCCAGCTTGTCCAGGATTGGCTGGATATCTGCTCAGGTGATGTTCTTGTAGTGTAGAGGTAGCCCAAGGTAGGTACATGGGAAATGAAGCAATGGCACTGGGAATTGTTGCACGGGAGTGGGTATAGGTCAATGTCATCAAGGAAAGAGGGAGTATGCCGCTCTTCTCCAAATTGTAGACGAGACCAGAGGCAACACCAAAACAGGCTACCACCATGTTGGTTATTATGCATGATGTCCGCAGGCTTCGGAGACATGAAGAGTGTAGCATCATCGGCATAAAGGATCACTCTTAGCTGTGATGGTGGCAAGCTGGCCGGGTCGAGAAGTTGAGTTGTTGCTGCCTTTGCAAAGATTCAGTGGAGAAATGCAATTGCCAGAATAAAAATCATGGGAGAAAGTGGGTCTCCTTTACGCGGGCCTCTATGGTGGGTGAAGGGCTAGGCCAAGAGCTCACCATTCACCATCACACAAGAAGAGGCAGTGCTCCAGAGCAGGGATGTCATGTCACGCCACTGGTTGCGAAAACCCATGTGGGAGACACTACCGGACTTGCCACCTATGCCGACGGCCCATAGGCCATTTCCCATCGGCATAGATCATGCCAGCGTACTCTTGTCAGACTGTCGGCATAGTTTAGCCGTCGGCATAGGGGCCTATGCCGATGGCTCCCGTCCGGCCGTCGGCATAGTTCCGTCGGCAGTGTTTTTTGCCTGACGGCAACGGACGGTGCCGTCAAAAGCGCTGACGAATCACGTGACGCTGCGTGGCAGAGGTATGCCGACGGCCAAGCCGTCGGCATAGGCCAAAATCTATGCCGACGGCTTTTACCGTCGGCATACCTCTGCCACGTGGCATCCTATGGTGCCTCCTGGCGGCAGGGATATGCCTACGGCAAAGCCGTCGGCATAGATTTTCCATCTATGCCGACGGCTTTGCCGTAGGCATATCCCTGCCACGTGGCAGGTTCTGGGAAGCCCTGGGCACATCTATGCCGACGGCTTTGCCATGGGCATAGATCTGTTTTTTTTTATTTTCCCTGTTTTCTCCTTTTCAATTCATTTTGACAGCATTTCAAAGCAGAAAATATGGGATTATGCAGAAATATGACAGTTCATCATCTAAACATACTCAAGTTCATCATCATCATTTAAACATACTCAAGTTCATCATCTAAAGATTATCACCGGCGAAAGTTCATGAACATAAGTAGTGCAAGACATGGAACATCATTTCAAAGCAGAAACTAACAAGTAGGGACATGAAAGGTATGGCCCAACGACCACATGCACGGGTATCATCATCGACATCAAGCAAGACCGCCGCCGCCAAAACCACCACCGCCAAGGCCACCTCCGCCAAAACCACCACCGCCAAGACCACCTCCGCCAAAACCACCTCTGCCAAAACCGCCATCGCCAAGACCACCACCACTCTGCTAGATCGGAGTGACCGGGGTCGACGAAGCAGGAGTCGAGCCACCGGTCCCCTACATGTTTGAGAGAAGATTATAACGGTAAATATGATATGATAGTGTTGAATGAACGAGAACTAGTTTGTCAGTAGTTAGGAAAATGTACTAACCGGACTATCATTGCCTAGTGCCACCCATTCATCGAACGTGGGCACATGTAGGGGTTGTCCCGCAGGTGGTGGTGGGGGTCCCATTTGTGGTGGATCCGTGCGGTTACTCCAAGACGCCAACATAGCCTGGATGTTAGGTAAACAAGAAAACTAGAAGGTCAAAAGGAATGAAAGTGCAAAATTTTAGCTTGGTTTTAAGAGGGCAAAACTGACCGTCATCATCTTACGATTGTAATCATCGTTTGCCTTCACTCGTTGCAAGTACTCCCGCACCTCGAGATTCCTATGCTCGACAAAGGCCTTATATGCCTACATAATTTAGGTTGTTTCTAAGTGAGCAATGCTGAAAATAAACTGAGAATGTTAGAGAGAAAGAAGATAAAGGGGAAGTACTTACAGCATGCTGGCGGGCTAAGGGAGGCTGCGAATGCCCCGTACTCTCTGACGGGCTCGGTGTTGGTAGTCCGAAGACGTGTGTACGAGACCGAAGGAGTGATCAAGCCATCAAAACACGGATACCGGCCATGGGACTTCCCCTGGATGGCCACCCCTGCCGTGTCGTCGATCTGAGACTGGGCAACCTCAGGAACAGGAACATTCGGATGCAACTTCTGAAAGTGCTGAGTGTAAGACTCCAGGTGCTCCTCGGTCTTGCCGTAGTACTGGCTCTCGCCATCCTTGCGATCACTCCGCTCGCAGGCCAGCTTCCACGACTCAATGTCTGAGAGTGGCCTCTTCAACTTGTCCTCCTGCAACGTCAAACAGAAGTTAGCCATACATAAGAACATGACGGTAAAGAAGAACAAAAATGCATCATGCATATAGATATACCTTCATGGCCTTGAAGCCCCACTGGTTCCTGTTTCCTTGGCCGTGTGTCCCGTCTTTTCCACTGTTAGCCCGGGCCTTGCTGCTCTTGGCAGCAAACTCTGCATCATCGCCGAGCCACCTATCCACCAAACTTGCCCATCTATCATCCCTTCCATAGCACCAACGAGGAACAACCTATGCAAATTTTGGAAGCATGACATGTGAGCACGAAACATATACTCCCTCCGTTCCTAAATACTTGTCTTTATAGGCATTTCAACAAGTGACTACATACGGAGCAAAATGAGTGAATCTACACTCTAAAATATGTCTACATACATCCGTATGTAGTAGTCATTTGAAATGTCTAGAAAGACAAATATTTAGGAACGGAGGGAGTAGTTGACTGCTTGAAACAATGAAAAGTCAGTAATAGTTACCTTCATGAACTGCTCCCTGCTCAAGGTAAGTCGTTGCCTCTGTGCTTGAGTTTTGGTCATCTTTTGATGAAGGTAGATATGGTAGTACTGCGAGACGGCAACCCAGCGCACCTCGTACTGCAACCGACG